TTAAGTATTATTTATAAATATTATATTTTTATTTATTTTATTAAAATAATTATTATAATATGATAAAATTAGCTTAAATAAAATTATAGTTAAAAATAAAATATATCTATATTTTATTTTTTCTACTAAATCTTTAGAAAAATAATAATCCCTGAAAATATAGATTTACTATTTACATATATATCTTTAATTAGTGGAATCACTACTTTTTTATAATTTATTTATTTATAAATATTCTAAACATTAACTGTTTTAATATAAATACTTTTTTAGTTTGGATAAATCTTAAAATACAATTATTTATTGATGGTTTAATAAATAAATTTGGATTTAATATGCTATTCGATATAATAGCTATTTATATATTTATACTAAATTAGTTTTTACTTTAATTTTATTAGTTTAATCATACATTATTTTTTAGTATGATATAGAAAATTTATTTATAATCTAAATTACGTAATTTAGTTATTATAATTAATTATAGGAATAAAAGATATTTATATAAATTAAATAATTATAGTTTATATGGGTATAATTTTAATAAATATTATCTTGTAATATTTATTTAAAATATAGTAAAAGTATTTTATAAGTACATTATATTTTATTTATATAAAAATTATTATAATATAAATAATATAAGTTTACATAATCTAGTAGTTAATAATAAAATATAAATATTTTATTTTCAATAATTAATTTTTATCTTAATTTAATTATTTTATGAATAATTTTATCCTTAAGGTTATAAAATTATTTATAATATAAGTAATGTACTTATTACTATCCTTTTATTTTATTAACTTATATTTTATAAATTTTAAGTTATATTTTTATTTTATATTAACACCTTTAATTTAACTAAAGTTTAATTACTAGTAAAAAATTTAATTAATAATTAAGCGGATAGGTAGATAGTCCTAAGGTATATTCACTTTAAATGTATTATCTAATCTAGAAATATACTATAATATTTGCTAAATATATTATTTTTTTATCTTTTTCAATTTTGTTTATATAGTATTCTTATTATTTTTAATCATAGTATACCATTAGAATTCTTAATTTTTCTTTTATATTAGTTAGTCTGGGATACTAGACGAACAGAACTTCTCTAGTAGTATAAAAAATAATTTAAATACTACTAAAATTAGTAATACTAATTTTATTTATTTAATATTTATTGATTTTATTTTTAATTATACTATTTTAATTATAAAAAATATATAATAATAGTAATATTTATTTGAAGTATTTAAAAATTATAATTTACTAAGATTATATTTTAATATATATTTAATCTATTTTTTAAGTTTAGGATTAATTTTTTAATTTTATTTAAAAAAGAGGAAGAAACTAATTATTGTAATATAAAAATTTTATTTGAATAATAAATAATTATCCGATAATTATATATAAAATTTATATTTTATATTTATTTAATTTTAAGATAATTTTAATATTTTTTATAATTTATTTTATATAGATATAACTAAAATTATTATAATATATAGCTATATTAATTATTCTTATTTATTTTAGGTATTTGTAAATTAATAATAAATTTAAATATAGTTAAGGTTTATATTTTATATTAATACTTTTTTAGTAGGTTATCTGTATTTCATAAATTAGTTTTAAATAAGCTTAAAAATATAATTTTATATTAATTAATTAATAAGAGGAAGATAATCATAAGATATATTTATTAAATATATATTTTATGGGTGTAGTTTAATTATTATATTTAATTGTAGTTTATTTTTAGTAAAAATATAAATTAATAATTTATATTTAAATTAATAATTTAAACAATAATAATTATGAAAATAATTTTATAAATTTATTATAAAATTCTTTATAATTTAATTTTATTATATAGTATTTATAATTTATTTATATTATAGTATAATTCTTTTATATTATATAATTAAATATTATGATAAATTTTAATTATATAAAATAAATTTTTATTTAAATAATGATTTATTATATATTTACTAAATAAATATTTAATTATTTCAGATAAAATATATTATATAATTTTAATTAATAAAAGTTTTTATAAATAATAATTAGTTATATAAATATATTAATATTTTTTATATATTTTGTTATAAAATAAATTTAATAGTCTTATTAGATAAAATTTTTATTTTATATAGAATAATTAATATTATTTTTCTAAAAATATATATTAGTAATAATAGTATTATTTTACTATATTTGATAATATATTTATTATATATTATATAATTATACTATATAAATATTAATATTATTAGTAATAAATATATTATACTTTTATAAATATATTATTATGTATCTTTTTAAAATATTTATAAATCTTCGTTTATTTTAAATAATTATAATATATTTTATAATTCAATAATTAAATATTTAATTATTGATTAAAGATATAATTTATCTATATATTATTTATATAAATTTATAGTTATAAATATTATATTTATATAAAATTATATGTCTATAAACTATATTAAAATTTAAAAAAGATTTAATTTATATTAATTCGAATTTAATATAAATTATTTTACCTACAATCCGATTATTTTATCTAATAACTGGATAAAATTTATTTTAAATTTAATTATATAATATATAAATAAAAAATATAATTTACAAAAAATAAATAACTTTATTTTTTATCCTCTTGATAATAGTATACTAATTTTTAATGAAAAGTTATCTTTTAAATTATTGCACACTTCAAATTTTTAATGTAAAATAACTAATTATTATGAAGTATTATAAGATAAAAATAAAAATGTATTTAAACAAAAAATAATAAATTCAAAAAAAATATAAATAATATAATATAAGATATTATATTAAATATATTATAAAAAATTTAAATAAAAAAATATTACTTGTAAAAGTAATAAAAAAAAAGTAAATTATAAAATAATTATTTTATATAATATAAACTAGATTTATATAAAATAATTATTTTTATAATTTATTATACATATATATTTCTATATTTTATTTTATTAAAATACTTTTTAATATTTTATTTATTATATAAACCTATAATAAAAAATAAAAAAAAATTATCTTTTTATACATTTTATAATATTATTATTCTTAATCATTTTTTTAATACTTTTTTGAAAAAAAAAAATTTTTTTTATTTATCTCTAGGATTATTTATATACTTTACCGATTTAGTATTTTTTTATTTAATAAGGCTTTGAATTATTTAATAAGTATATAATTTATTTTATTTAGTTTATTAATAAATTTTTGATTTTCTCTCCTAAATTTTAGATTATAAGTATCTATTACATAAAAAAAATTTAAGTACTAAAAATTTTAAACTTATAGACTAATGAGAGTAAATTTATTATCTTCCTATTTTTAATCGTTTTATGTTAATATAATAGAATGATTCATTTTATATATTTATAATGGTGGGAAAATATCAAAGTAAATAATATTCTAATATCATAATTCATATATAAAAATTCTTTATTTTTTATAATGGTTATAAAAAATATAAAAGGAAGTAAGATACTTTTGATTAAAAAATATAAAATTAAACCATATTACTATATCATTAAATTGAAAATAAAGTTATTCTATTTTAAATAAAAATTTTATAAATGTATATATTATTTAATATTATTTACTAAATAAATTATACAATATATAATCTAGAATTAGATATTTTAATTTAATATAAATTATATTATAGTAATAGGTATTATAATAATAATATATTTAATAACATAATATATAATAAAAATATTAAAAATATAAAATTTAATAATAGAAAATTATATATTTCTGATCGATTTATCGATCGATTGTTTAAATATAAAAAAAAATTAATTTTAATTATTATGATAATAATTTAGAAGAAGTAGGAATAAAAAAAATTTTTTTTATTCTTCATATATTTTTTATAAAAAGTATTAATTCTTAAAAAAATAAAATTATTTTAATTTTAAATAATATAAAAGTAAGTTATTTATTAATTATTAATAATTAATAAATAAAAATATTTATATTAATATAAATATTTATTAGATTATTTATTAAATATTTATAAATTATTTTTAATATTTTTATATAATATATCTTTATCCAAAAAAATATAATAGTATTGTATAATATATTTATCTAAAAAATTTAATAATACTTATATATTTATATATATAATATATATTTATAAAAAAAATTTATAAAAAATAAAATTTATTATTATATATAATAGCCAGATTAGCTTAATTGGTAAAGCAGTAATCTTGTAAATTACTTTATATGGATTCAAATTCCTTATCTGGCTAAAATACCTACTTGGAGAAATTGGTAGACTCAAATGACTTAAAATTGTTTACATTTTATGTGTGAGGGTTCAAGTCCCTCAGTAGGTAATAAAGAGAAGAATGCATTTTGGTATTGCAATCGCCCTGTAAAGGCGATGGTTTCGACCATTCTGGGTTCAAATCCCAGTCTTCTCAAAAAGAGGAGATAGCTTAATGGTAAAGCCAACTGCTCATAACAGGAAAGATGTTAGTTCGAATCTGATTCTCCTCAAAAAATAATGCGAATAAGTGTTTTTGGTAGCACATAAGACTCATGATCTTAAGGAGGTTGTTCAAATCAATCATTCGCACATAGATCTCATCATCTAAAGGTAGGATCTAGCACCTTCACTGCTATAATGTTCGTTCGAATCGGACTGAGATTAAAAATAAGGAATCGTAACTTAAAGGTTAAAGTGTTTGCTTGATAAGCAAAAAATAATGGTTCAATTCCATTCGATTTCAAAAAGATTAGATATCTTAACGGTAAAGTATTGGGCTGCAAACCTAATTATGAGTGTTCAATTCACTCTCTAATCTTATCAAAATAAAAATAAATAATTTTGATAAAATAAATTTATATTATTATAGGGAGTATAACTTAATTGGTAGAGTTACAAACTTTTAATTTGCACAGTTTGGGTTCAAATCCCAATACTCTCAAATGCCTTGATAGCTTAACTGGTTAAAGTACGGAGCTGAAGTCTCTGGGTAGGATGTTCAAGTCGTCCTCAAGGCATTTTTATTAGCTATAGTAGCTTAATGGTAAAGCAAATCACTGTTAATGATTTGATCTCTGTTCAATTCAGGGCTATGGCTTAGTTTAGTAAATAATTTTTTTTTTCATTAACTAATGAAAGGAAAAATCGCCTAATGGTATGGCAATAGTTTGCTAAACTATGAATGTTTTACATTCTTGGGGGTTCGAATCCCCTTTTTTCCGAAAAAAGAAGGATAATCCTAAAAAAAAAATAAATGAAATTAGCTTTATTATTATTTTTAATAGGAATATATGGTATAATATTAAATAGAAAACATTATCTTTTAGTTTTGATTTCTATAGAAATTTTATTATTAGCTATTACTATTTTAGTTCTTTATTTTTCTATTATTCATGATGATATGTTAGGTCAAATATTTGGTTTATATATAATATCTATTGCAGCTGCTGAATCTGCAATAGCTTTATCTATATTAGTAGTATATTATAAATTAAGAGGTACAATAAATATAATTATTCCTACTGAAACTACATTATTACCTAAATTTTATTTATAAGAATTAATTCTTATATTAGGGTAGATGACTGAGTTGGTTTAAGGTGCTTCGCTTGAAACGAAGAGAAGTTTTGAATAGCTTCCATGGGTTCAAATCCCATTCTGCCCGTAAACGGATAGTAGCGTAATAGGTAACGCCTCTAATTTGGGATTAGAAGATTGTAAGTTCGATTCTTGTCTATCCGAAAACCTATAGTAAATAGAAAAAAGAATTCAAAAAATAAATAAATGAGTACATTATTATTATTTATTATATTAACACCTATTATATTAACAGTATTATTAATTATAAATCTTATTATACCAGTTAATAAACCTGATTTTTCTAAAATATCTCCTTATGAATGTGGTATGGATACTATAGGAACAGCTAGAGAAAAATTTAATATACAATTTTATTTAATAGCCATATTATTTTTAATATTTGATATAGAAGTTATATTTTTATTCCCTTTTGCTTCTATTTTATATAATATTTCTTTATTTGGTTTTTGAATAGGAATAACATTTATATTAGTATTAACTATAGGATTTATTTATGAATTAAGTAAAGGTATATTAAATTTTACAAATATATAATATAATTCTTTTATTTATTCCGTTCTCTATAGAGAACATAAATTTTTAGGAAAATAATTTAATTGGTAAAATGCTGGTCTCCAAAACTGGTTTTAAAGGTTCAAATCCTTTTTTTCCTGATTTAAAAATAAAGGGAAATAATTTAATTGGTAAAATGCTAGTCTTCAAAACTGGTTTTAAAGGTTCAAATCCTTTTTGCCCTGATATATTTATTAAAATTTGCACTCTTAACTTAATTGGTTAAAGTAATAATCTTCGAAATTATTTATATAGGTTCAATTCCTATAGAGTGTTTATAAGGCGAATATAGTTTAATGGTAGAACTACAATTTGTGGCATTGTAAATATGGGTTCAATCCCCATTATTCGCCTATAAAAAAGAAATAACTCGTTTAGCTTAATTGGATAAAGCATCGATTTTCTAAATCGTGTATTGTAGGTTCAATTCCTTCAACGAGTAAAAAATAAAAGAAACTCATTGTAAGTATGGAACAGAGCTCCGAAGGAGTCTTCTTGAAGTTTTAAAAAAGTAAGAAATAATTTTAAAAGAAAAAGAAAAATATAAATAAAAAAAATGATAATATTATTATTATTAATACCTATTATAGGTATTATTATTAGTTTACAAATTACAGATAAAAAAAAAATTAAAAAAATAGGATTAACTACAGCCATGATAAATTTTATTATATCTATAATAATGTGAAATAAATTTGATTATAGTTGTATTCAACCACAATTTTTAATTAGATTTACTTCTAATATAACAGCAGGTGTAGATGGAATATCATTATTATTTATATTACTAACTACATTTATTATTGTTATATCAATATTAGATAGTTGAAATATAGAGTATAATATAAAATATTTTATAAATTCATTATTATTATTAGAAACTATATTAATAGGTGTATTTGTAATATTAGATATATTAATTTTTTATGTATTTTTTGAAGCATCACTTATACCTATGTTTTTATTAATTGGTTTATTTGGTAGTGATAAACAAGGTTATAAAAAAGGTAAAGAAAAAGAAGAATTAACTAGAATATATGCAACATATCAATTTTTTTTAATGACATTAGCAGGATCATTATTAATGTTATTAGCTATATTAACATTATATTCTTTTTCAGGTACTTATGATTATATTTTTATTTCTTCATCTTATTTATTACCTTCTAGACAATTTATTATATGATTAGGATTCTTTATTTCTTTTGCTATTAAAACACCTTTATTACCTTTTCATCAATGATTACCTTTGGCTCATACAGAAGCTCCATTAAGTGGTTCTATTATATTAGCTGGTATTATGTTAAAATTAGCTACTTATGGATTTATAAGATATTCTTTAAATTTATTTCCAGAAGGTTCTTATTATTTTTTACCTTTAATATTACCATTATCTCTTTTAGGTATAATATATTCTTCTTTAACTACTTTAAGACAAATAGATTTTAAAAAAATTATTGCTTATAGCTCTATAGGTCATATGGCTATAGCTATAATGAGTTTATTTTCATTTTTATATCAAGGTTTATCTGGTGCTATATTTTTATCTATTGCTCATGGTTTTACTTCTCCAGGTTTATTTATTTGTGCAGCTACTTTATATAATAGATTTCATTCTAGAACTTTATTATATTATAGAGGATTAAATATTCTTATGCCTTTATTAGGTATTATTTTAATTTATTTAACTTTAGCTAATATGGCTACTCCTTTAACTAATAATTTTGTAGGTGAATTTTTATCTTTTATAGGTATATTTGGTATAAATCCATATATAGGTTTCTTTAGTTCTTTAAGTATTATTTTAGTTGCTGCTTATTCTATTTGATTTTATGGTAGAATATTATTTGCTTCTTATTCTTTACATTTAAAATCTAATATTATAGATTTTACTAGAAAAGAATTTTATTTCTTATTACCTATATTAATTGGTATTTTTATAACTGCTATTTATCCTAATTTATTAACAGATATAATAGAATATGATATTTCTGTAATATTATTAACAATTTTTTCTAATTCTTAAATAATTTTTTATTATCCTTTCTTTAATATCTTATATATTAAATTTAAATTTTATATTAATCTTATAAAATATTTAATATAATTCTTTATTTATAATCTTTTTTATAATTATTTTATTTACTATAAACTTATAAATAAAGTAAATATTTATATTATAAATAGTATATTTTAAATAAATTTATAAAAATTTTTATTTTTTATTATTATAATAAATTATTATAAAAGTTTAGTATATTATTATATAAAAATTATTTACTGTTCTATACAAATCATAATTAATCTTTTTTATAATTTAATAAATAAAGTAAATAGATTTTAAATAGTTTCATTTAAAAGGTGAAAAATATTTAGATAAATTTTAATAAAATTTATTTTAACTTTCCTTGTATAATATAAAGTTATAAATATTAAATTTATTTTTAGAGATA